TTAGAAAATTTTAATTGTGTTATATCGAGTTTAGTAAAGTAGAATAACAATAAGATTAATTTTATAAAATTATCTTTTTATCTATTTATTAATTTTTTATGTGTATAAAATAATTTAACGACATAGAAAAATATTATTTATTTGTGATCGACTTTTCAAAAATAACCTCTCTTGTTTACGCTTCATCGTCCCCTACCTAACACTTCACCCTTCTATTGTTAAGCCCCTTTCAAAAGGGGGATTTTCACCGACAACTCCGAAATATGTTTGTTCCTTCCACAACCTTTTATAAAGAGAATTTTTATTTTTACATAAAATGATGCCTTTTTTTATATTAAAAAACATGTATAATATAAACTATGTAACTCTTTTGGAGAAATTAGTTCGTAAATCCGTACATGTATGAAAATATGAATATATTAATTAATATAAATTTATTTTTTAAATATATAAATTAAGTTTTAAGTTTGATAATAAATTATAATAAATAAATAAGTTATAATGAATAAAGACAATTTAAAAATAACACAAACATAATATCAATAAAAGAAATAAAATGTGAACATAGAAATTGAGAATAATTACATCATTAACTCAATATCTTAATAACCTCAAATGTATAAAAACTCAATAACGTGATCAAATAGTTTACAACTTCATATATATTAAAATAAATGACGCTTTTGTATATGCGTTTGGCACCATGAGAAACAGGATATTGGCGATAAATCTTGTAAATTTTTCATTCATGATTTTGTATTTTTTAATGAAAATTAAACAATAATAAAATGTGCTAAAAAGAATTCAAATTGTATTACTAACTGTCTATTTAAGTAAAAATGCAGAACACGTATTTATTATACATAAATAATTTGTAAAAATTATCTTATATTAATTTATGAAAAAAGTAATTTAAACTTATAAAAAAATTATATTTTTTCTCTTAAAAATACTTAGAAATTTATATATCCGATGGTAGCAATGTATATGAAAGGGGAGTAATATTTTAATGAAGCCACAAATCCTGTCTTCTTCTCCGATTAAAGGTATACATAGAGTATGTATTTTGGCTTTGAGTAGGGGGACCAAAGAAGGTTCCAAAACATAGAGTTGTTCATATTGTTGGATTAAAATAATAAAAATAGTGATTTTGGAATTAATGATTATGCACCAACTCCTCCCAACAGCTGTGTTGTGTGTATGTTCCCAACCAAACGCGTTCGTGGCTTCTGTCATTTGACCAATTTCTATCGTCTCCTAACAAAAAATTCCTAACCTTTTTTTTGTTTTCTTTTAGAAAACTAATAAATGATCGTAAAATTAATCACTCTTGTCCTCATTGGCATTGCTAAGAACAGCACTCTACCAGTGGTATTCAACTTATGGATGGAATCACTAATAATACATCAAAATTTTCGTCAACCATGCCATTTGTCAACTTCGGTGGAAATAAATAAAATGTAAAAAAACTTTGTATTGTAATTACATAATTTTCCAATGATTTAAAACACAAAAAGTAATTGTAATATTTGTTGAAAAAAAAATTAATGATTAAAATTATGATAAATAATAAATTATAAAATCATTAAAAGTTTAAATGTCAAAGTATACAATTCTCGTAAGCTATCATTTGATCTATAACAATTTCTTTTTTATTAAAAAAATGTTGTATGGTTAAAAGAATAATAAAAAATCCCTAATCAAAGTATAAAACGAAATAATTATCCCAAAAATCAATCCAGTGAGCATTACTTTGTTGCAAAATGTCAAAGAATTACCACTGAACATATAAATTAACTGATGTAAAATTGTCAGTTTAACCAAACATATAATTTTCTGTAAAAGAAATATATTATATCAGTTAATATTAACTATATAACCAAAATGGATACTTGAGAATTTTGAGTCAAATGGTTTGAACTACCCGCTGAATTATTAACTTCTATATATTTTATCTTTTATACTTAACCCCCTTTTTTTTGCGACACACAATTATTTATACTATTTCTTTTTAGACGTCACATGCATTTTTTTTATGAGAGCCGACTTATTCAAATCAAGTAAAACTATCTTGGACAACAAAGTTTTCTCTCGTTCATTTACACTTTGTTTGATTTGGAAAAGAAGAAAAAAAATGAAATATGAATAAAAAGAAAGTCATAAAAAATAGTAAATTTTTTGGTTATTTTTTTTGTAAAGATAAAAAAAATTATAAAGATAGTCATAATGAAAATAAAAATACTTAAACAAGAAGTTGAAAGAAAAAAAAAAAGAAGATAAAAACTGAAAAATTTATTTCCTCTCTAGTTTCTCACTGGAAGGAGGAAGAGTTTTAACGTAAAGAACGTAAGATTTTTCTCCCTAAATTATTTCCATGTTTTTCCAAACAAAGGGAAATGCATAGATAATTTAGTTTTCTATGCTTTTTCTTTCTCTACAATTTGTCTTATAACAAAAAAATATTAGTGTGAGTGTGAAAAGTGAAATAAAATAATTTAGTCATGATTAAATGATTAAAGTGAACTCTCCTATACTTTTTGCTTGAAATACTTCTTATATATGCATATAAATATAGATATAAACTATGATGATATTTTTCTTATATATATATTTTTGTTTATATTGTAATAAATTAATGAATCTCAAGCTTTTGCATGTAGTATAAGGCTGATATAGACATGTTATATATTTAAATTTAAACTTACGCGTACCTAATTGAGTGTTTCGTTTCATCAACGTTTCCTTATCTTTTTTCACGACCCCTTAAAAATACCATTTCTTAGTTAAAGAATCCTTTCTTATTCATGTAACAAGTTAAGAGAACCCATGAACTATAATTAATAAATATCAACCAACAATAGTACATAGCTGGGTCTCTAAATCATATATTAAGGCTGAATTCCTAATTGTATGAAAAAGATTTAGTTGAGAGGGAGAAACTCTATTTTAATATTCTACACCTTTAAAAAAAATGTTTAGTCTCCAATCATGAGAGGAAAATATCTGCAAGGCAAAATCTGGGGTACCAAAAAGGCTTTTATTTTACGGTGTTGATGGGGGCCACGACCATTCCTCTATTTGAATGTGATTAAACCAAACGTCTATATAAGTAGGTATGTGACCCCCCCTGTAAGTATAAGATCTCAAACGTAGTTTACAAGTTCTTCACAGCGCAGACCTAGAGCAGCATTATTTCTTTAATTATTACAAGGTAGGAGAGGAATCCATTTTTTTTTATATTTCTTATAAAGAAAGTTCCTTGCAACTTCTTTTTGCTTCAGAGCTGGCTTCCCTCTGTTTTTCAACATCAAACCTTCTTTATACATTCAAATAAGTAAAAATGTGTTTCTATAAGTTTTGTACAAACTGTTATACACAGACTAAGAGTGTAGGATAAGATGATTAAAGTAACACAGAGATAGAAAAAAGAATAATGTCGCAAAAAACATTGTATGAATGTGTTTTACGAAGAAGTGGTCTCTCTAGAAAGTCATCAACTTAGATATATATATATATATATATATATATATATATATGCTCCCTTTGCTTCACTGTCATCAAACACCCCCTTTACTCCACCCGACTTCCCTCCTAATCTATGTTCTTTTAGACACACTAAAGAAGTTCACCTACAAATTTTGTTCCTGTATTCATTAACAAGCATTGTTCACTTTTTGTTTATAAACCGTTTCACTTCTGATTCTGAATATACAGAAATGGGAGTTGGAGGTACATTGGAGTACTTGTCTGATCTAATGGGCAGTGGCTACCACCACAAGAAGAAGAAGAAGCAGTTCCAGACCGTGGAGCTAAAGGTGAGAATGGATTGTGATGGTTGTGAGCTCAAGGTCAAGAACGCCCTTTCCTCACTTAGTGGTGAGTTACATTCTTCATTCTTGTCATCATCATATATTATTTGTTTATTGGTGTCATTCGACATGAAGCTGATGAAATGAAATGGTGACTGCAGGAGTGAAATCTGTGGAGATAAACCGAAAACAGCAGAAAGTGACAGTAACTGGTTATGTTGAGCCAAACAAGGTGCTGAAGAAGGCTAAATCAACAGGAAAGAAGGCTGAGATTTGGCCCTATGTGCCTTACAACTTGGTGGCACATCCATATGCAGTTCAAGCTTATGACAAGAAGGCTCCCCCTGGTTATGTGAGGAGAGCGGAGGTCCCTGCTAACATGGGAACCGTCACAAGATATGAAGACCCATACATCACCATGTTCAGTGATGACAACCCCAATGCATGTTCCATCATGTAGACAAAAATGTTTTTTCCGCACAGCATTGTAAATTTTCAAATTTTAATGCAGTGTTTTTTCTCTTTTAGCATTTTTCTTTTTTGTTTTCTGGTCCATTTTCACGTTATTGCTTTCTAGGAGTGTTGACTCTTTTTTTGTTTTACATAAAAAGATGAGAAGAGGCGTTGCTGTGAATGTGATCATTGTTTTTCTATTTTTTGCTTCAGTGTTCCAGTATTGTACACTGTCCTTGCCTGCTCGTAGCTATGCAATAGCTAGTTTTGGTGGGCCTTGACCTTCCTTGAGATATGATAGTTTTTATTGTTATGGCCTTTTTCTGCCATAAATGAAACTGGATCATGTCATGTGAATTAAGTATAGGCAAGGGTGAATGAAATGGTGAATAAAAACAATGTCTGCTTGCAATTTGAGTTTTTATTTATCTGTTTTCGTGCTTGGAGTTGTAGAGAAAAATATCAAAAACGTATTATTAGAGGAGAGTGGGGAAAAAATGCTAGGAATAAAGTCAAAGAAAGGAAGCAGAACAGGCATGGATCATATTTTGCCTGTAGTATGCATATTAACAGTGGCATTGCATTTTGCCTACCTAGTCCCGGAGCATTTGGCACCTCTTATCACCAAAAAAGAAAATTTGACAGGCTGCATTGGGGCTAGTGCTGAAAAAGCATACATAATTTAAACTCAATTCCAAATACACTTGGTTCCCAGAAGAAGCTGGAGCCAACAGGAACAATGATGTTCAAGGAAGGCATATCCTTTTCCTCTCAATTAACGTGAGGCAGGAATCAACTTTACTTTTTCTGCTTTGCCTTTTTTCTGTTTCCCTCTCCTTTACCAGATCCTCACAAAGTGTAAAGGCACATGCAACCTCGGGATAGTATTTAGGATTCAACAGAATTATGCAGATGATTATTCTAATTACTATCATCACCACCCCATCATCGTGACGTTGCAAGCAAAATAGTGATACGGGTATAAACAATTGTTAAGGTTGAAGGAATTCATACATGCTGCACAGTCACTGAGTTAGCTAGTTTGCCTGGGCTAATTCGCCTAATAAGTTGAACCAGACACAAGCACAATTTACATTTGAGAGAATTACGATTTACGATATCTCTACGAAAATATTTCTAATTTTAGATGAATTAAGCCAAACTGATGATTAATCAAGTAGCATATAAATTATTTCCGAAAAGGCATATAGAGCCATGCCTATTTCAAACAGGAAGATCAAAAGGGTAAAGCATATCATGTCTAACAGATGACATTTATCATATGAAGAATTAATAAATTTATCATTCATAGAGGAGTATTCAAAATTACATTTACACTAAAAATACACAAGTTGATCGCATGTCATGTGCAGAGAGATACGCGTGAATTATCTGAATCTATATCACCAGGAAGGATTGTTCATTGCTCTCAAAAGTTGTATCCAGGTCAATCATGTACAACTCCACTAACCAGGAACAGTAACTCGAGGTAGCTGGAATCAGGAAGGAGATTCTTCCAAACAAGTTGATCCACATTCTCTAGCAAAATGTCCATTTCATTGCTCTAAACTATCAGTAATTAGAATCATACCTATTTTAGACAATCCACACCAGAGAAGAAAAGAACACCGAGTGTTATCATTTATCATTAATCTTACATATCACCAGGTAGTTGGTCATTAAACATGTTGTAAATTTCACAAAGAATGTTTCACAAAAGAGTAGAAATATTAAGCAGCCTATGTTTCAAGTATGATCACTTGTGTCATCAAATTTTGATGTTGCTTATAGATATAATCAATGCCAACTGATTAAACCACTAAAGCAGGTGATCAATGCTTTATCGTGCAGTTTCTACTTACTCCTACAAATGCATAAAAGCTTCCGGGTTACATGTCCAAAATTTGAAGTTGTTGCTTCCTATTTGAGTATTTTGTTAAAAAGGAAAGAAAGCCAACAAGTTTAGGTTCCTCAAGCATATAGAAAACAATCTGGACACAAAAATATGAGTGCTTGGTTACCATTTCAACTATCTATTTTAAGCATATAAATATTGTATGGAGATCTCGAAACTCACTCCATCCATGTGTAGTTCATATGCATCTATATGTATCCGATCACTTTGGACTTCCTTCACTTTGATCTGTTCCCCGAATAAAGCTCAACAAAATTAATATCATACAGAAGAGTGGCGTTGCCGGGTATATTGCAGTCACCTGTTGAATCAGTGTAAAAAATGTAACAACTTTGATGACTTAAGGCATCTTCTGATATTAATGATACAGTTACTATATGCAGCTTTTTTGTAAAACTCAAGTAATCAACTAGAAAATGCTTGTCCCCTGTAATAGTAATATAGGAATTTCTGAAATGCGATGAAGCATAACCTGAGAAGCAGCCCACAGGTTCAGGGCCATATGCTAAGTGTGGAGGAATCTGCAGTTTGCGTTTCCCACCTGGGTAAAAATGGTAAATTAGCAAGCTAGTGACAGTGTGACACGTGTGATGATGCAAGATTCTTAAAATGCTCCAATTAAAAACTATACCTATTCGCATTGGAGGTACTCCTTCACCCCCCAAAATTCCCTGATCCAATCCCTTGATAACCTGAACTCAATACATAAGTAAGTTCCAACATAGCAAAACTAGTAAAAAAAAAAAAGAAAAAAAAGTTGTCGTGTACCTTGCCAACACCAATGCGCATGGTGAGAGGTCTAGCACGTTTGTAACTGCTATCAAAGACTGTTCCATCAGCGAACCTTGCAGTATAGTGAATCTGCATGTAATGTATATAAGCCATTCATTCATAAAGAGGACATTACAAGAATGGATAAATTAACCAACTACTGACATTGATAAGCTCAGCGTATGGAGCTTCGTCACCGAAGCCCTCAGCGATGTCGCAGTAGCCGAGGCCAGACTTAACGTAGTTGTACTCACACAAAGGCTCTCCCACGGTAGCGTAGTATTCGATTCTGGTGGCGTCGGCGTCCAACGCCGTTAAACCCATCACGCAAGCCGTTACGACCCCAATACCAATTCCGAGCAATGGATTCTTGTTATCACGTGACACCTTAGGAGCCGCTTTGCAACTCTTGCCGTTTTGTTTCCAAAAACATGAAGGAACGCGTACACAGGAGGAGGAGAGTGAGAGTGCCATTTTCCTTTTCTTTTCTCTTTGCTGTTTTACGTTATCTCTTCAACTCTTTCTACGGCTCACTCCGGATATCAAACCCCGCCACGGGCCCACCGTCCACCGTCCACCTAAACCCAACAATTATTCATTTTTTTTATTTTATTTTAAAATAATATCCCTTATTGTTTGGGCTGCAAAACATAATGATATCTATTTGGGCTATAAAACATGGTTGGAGTCTCAGAGTGATGAATCATCCCAACCCTTGGCCCGCAAAGCTCAATTTACAAAATTACCAACGTATCCCTTTCCTTCCCGCGTTTTCACTGATGAAAAAAAAATTCAAAAGCGTTCTGACCTCTAACAACCACGCAACTAGCAACTAACAACTAACAAGCACGCTTCCCCAAGATTCCCCTAACGACCTTCTCAAACCGTTTCGTTCCCTCCATCACTCGCGCGCTCACATATAAATAACTCGATTCATTTCCCGCTGCATTCACTCAGAACTCCAATCATCGCTTCTTCTCTCTCCGCCATGGAAAACTCCTCTTCCTTCTCCCTGCGATTTGCGCTCCTCTTCGCCGTCTCCTTCGCCGCCATACTCACCGGCCCCAAGGTCACCGCTACCGAAGGCTTCGAAGCTCCCTTCACTCCCTCAACACCGCCACCAGCTCCACACGATAACCAAGAACACTCGTTCTTCTCCCACACCGCGCTTCTCCCTCCGATCTTGTCTCATCTCGGCTTCCACGAGCTGGCAACGGCGGCTCCGTCGCTCTCCGACGCCGCAAACACCGGTTCCTCTGCCTGGACCGGTCCTTCCACGATCTTTGCTCCCTCCGACGCCTCTCTGCGCGCCTGCTTCTCGTGCTCCGTTCCGAGCCTCCTTCGCGAACACATCGTTCCCGGTCTCTTCACCATCGATTATCTTCGTAAACTCGCTTTCGGCACCAAGATCGAAACCTTGAGTCCAGGCCGCTGCGTCACCGTCACCTCCGATATACTCCACCTGAACACGAACACCAAAAACAACACCGCCGCCGCGAAGGTCTTCATCTGATTTTAATTTTTAACTTACATTTCACTTAATTAATTATTTGTCGGTTAGAATGAGATTTATTAGTTTTCTGTTAATTACGGTGGTTTGATAACTTTATTTCCTCTTCGGCGAAGGTTTTCGTCGGAGGCGTAGAGATAACGCAACCAGATCTCTTCAACAACGGCATGGTCGTGGTCCACGGCCTTCAAGGATTCGTCTCTCCTTTATCTCCGTTCTCTTGCGACGTGGAGAGGATGAACTCGCTCTCGTTTCCGTTCCATCCGGATCACCGTTCCGGTCACGGTCACGGTCACGGTCAGCATCATCTCCACGCTACCAGTGCCATGGTGCAGCCTGCTATCATGCGCCTGATGCTCAGGGACGCAATGCTCAGGCTCCGCAACAACGGCTTCAGCATCCTCGCCCTAGCGATGAAGGTGAAGTACGCGGAGCTCGTGACGCTTAACAACATGACCGTGTTCGCCGTCGACGACCTCTCTATCTTCGCCGGTTCGCACTCCTACATCAGCAACATCAGGTTCCACATCGTGCCGAACCATTACCTGTCCATAGCGGATCTCGAGAAGCTTCCGGTCGGGACTGCTCTACCGACGCTGGAACGAGGCCAGCCACTGCTCATCACGACCTCCGGCGGAGGAGAGACGCAGGCGCCGATGAGGATTAATTACGTCAGGGTTAAGGTTGCGGATGTGATCCGCAACGTGAAGATTGTGGTGCATAGTGTGTACTTGCCGTTTCCCCATATTAATCCTGTGGCTGCGGCTTATGACACTGTGATAGGAGGTGAAGGAGCGTCAGAAGGAGCGGGGAATATTCCAGATTCTGCAGAAACAACTACGACGCAAGGGACGTGTTCTGTTCTTGATGGACGTCCAAGTTGTGGTGTGTCTCCGATGCCTCAGGTTCAGGTCAAGCCAATGGTGGAGATCGAAGATCACCATGGCCTGTGAATAATGTCATCCATCGTGATCCGCGATGATCTCTGCTGAAGTGAAACTTTGTGCGTTTGTAATTAGTTCACTCTGTTAGCAGTGCTAGTTCTCTTTAGTTTCTGTATTCTGTGAAACTTCCGTGTTGTGTGTACAGCATATTCAATACTGTTGTTCTTCAATAAAAACTAGTTGATTCAAACAGATTTTGGCTCGTCTTCAGATTATATTGGTTATTTTAATTGTTTAGTTGATGCCAGCTAATAGATTTTCCCCTGTGGTAGTTGTTGTTTCTTTTGCTCTCAGGTCTCAATTCACTCATCCAAGTGTGCTTATCACTTGCTCTTCTAATTTGATTCATATTTGACCATGTCATTTCTCCTTAAAGTCCTTTGGTTAAATAAATCTATTGAGTAGCCTAATTTGCATAAAATCGCATTAAATTCTAGGCTGAGGAGTGGTACTTCATTAATTACTTTGAAATGATTAAAAGGATAAAATAGGCTCACACCTCGCAATTGGGTTCTCGCATTTGAAACAAATATTTGTAACATTTTCGTACTAGCTTGGATAGCAATTTAAATTTCCATCTCCTTACTCATTAGGTACTTATCAAATCTGCAACTTCTTTTTACTTGATTGGAAAATTAAAAAACGAAAGAAGTACAAAGAAATATTCCTCGATAGGAGGATGGAAACAGCAGGGGAAGGAATATCCCTCCCAAATACAAGGAGATTGGGTTTTTCTAACCCCAAAATTAGTCAAAGAGTGGGCCACCGAATTAGCTTCTCTGTCTATACCATGGATGTAATCCAGGATCATCACCAAAATTGACGCCTACAGGTGGAAAGGATGGCAGCTTTTAGAGTTAAAACTATCGACAAGTTGTGAAATATGAGATTACAAAACTCATGGAACAAAATGATCAATATGGATTTATAAAGGCTTACAAAATCCTTATTGATGTAAAAAAAAATTGAGTGGTGATAAAAATCAAATTCACGAGACTTTAACTACATAATGAACGATTTTGTTATGTGTAAAAAAAATTAGTTTAAAAATTATTATAACTAGATTAAAAATTCACTATTGAATTATTAAAATTAAAATATAATATAAAAAATTCAATAAGCTTAAATCATTTAAATATAAATATAATTCATAATTAAATAACATTAAAAACATAACATTTTAAATATAATTCAATATATTCGTTAGAAAATTTAAGTCTTTATTCATATATCTCAACTACTTCGATCGGCTAATTATCTTATGATTATATATTATAAATTAAAAATTAAATAGATAAATTAATTTACTTCATTATCATAATCAAAATTTTCATATTTGTATAAATGTTTGTCTCTCATATCTAAATATTATTTTGGTTAATAAAACTTATAGAAATTAAAATATGACAAAAAGATTAAAGATTAAATTATCTAAAATAATAATTAAAAATATGAAGAGGAGATAAAATACTCTGATTGAAAAAATTAAATAATATAATATAGAATTTTAAATTAATATTTTATGTTATGATATAAAGTGTTTTAGTCACATTTCCCTTCATACTCATTATGTTTAATACTTTTCTTGCATTTTTTTTTATATTTTTAAAATACCCTTATTTCCTCTCACTTTCACCCTCCCCTTCTTTCTATCAAGTCATCTCGATCTTTTTATTTTCTCGCATTTTGCCGATCATACTGAAATTAGTTTTTATAATTTTCGTAATGTGTTCAGTAGTGTCGAGTCACATTTTGTCAAAAAAAATTACGTCTTAAAAATTAGTTTCCGAAAAGGTTGTTTCTGTCAAAAAAAAAATAATTGCAAAACAATAAATGGTAGGGAGTACAAAGAGCAAAATTAAAGATATGAATAGCAACTCTTTGTCTCTATTTCTATAATTGCAAAACACAAAATGGTAGGGATTGCTGCGTGACTTACTTGAGCCCAATTGTTTAATTCACTACCCTCAATGGCCCTTCTCTCATCCTATCATCTTCTAAGTTCAGACCTTCAAAAAGACTCATGTATGTATAGATAAGTTTTCTCATTAATACTTATAGATTAAAAATAAATTAAAAGTAAATTTATAAGTTAAAAATAAAATTTTTAAGAAGTTAATGATTTTTTTTTATTTTTATAAATTAACTCATACATAAATTAGTTTAAACTTATAATAAAACTTATTTCATTTTTTTATTTAAACATCTTAGAAATCTTAGAAATGTTTTTGAAGAAGTTTAATTTTAGAAATCGCTTAATTTTTAGGAGTTGACCATTAATTTACTTTAATAGAGGCTCTTTTTATCATATTTTTTTTGTATTTTATTGTCCAATTTGATATTGATTACACGTATATGAGTTCTCTTATTAAAAGCTTGTAATTAAATCTATGTAAAAAAAAAAGTTAATATATAGTATATTGTAGAATTTTAAAAAAAAAACTAAACTTGAAGAATGATTTAAATATATTTTTAGTCTTTATAAATTAAATGATTTTAGTTTTAATTTGTTTTTTTTAGTTTTAATTTTTTAAACTTTAAAATAACTATTTTGGATTGTTGTACTTTTCAAATTTTGAATTCATTGATTTTGATCCATAATAATCATTTTAACAAACAAATAATATTTAAGTATTTTACAGATAAAAAAATATGTTATGAGTGATATGATACCACGTACACATAATGAGGTGATACTTGGATAACCATAATTCAAATGTTATATTTCACTACTTTTTTTGAAGCAACTATTTTAAGAGTATATAAACTTCAGATTACTAGCCAGCAAATAACAAACCAAACTCGTAAACATTTTGCAAAGCAATTTTAAACCTATATTAACCAAAAATTCTTGCACCTATTCAAGAAATTATTAATTAACTTAACCTATGCCATTTTCATAACATAAACTTCTAACTTAACAACCTTGATTAACTATCGATAAGCCAAAATACGAAAATAGTAATATATTATTCTTTGGACTGACTTTCTTGTTTACACTCTCTAAATAATGTGACATTACAAAATTTAAAAGACAAAGTCTTACAGTTATTCCAGCTTTTCATTAAATCAAATCCTTAAGACACACAAGTAATTTTTATTTGGTTATATTCTTATTTATCTTCAGTATTATTGAAAATAGAGTACGTCGCCATCAGCACACGCGACTTGTATATAATCTATTGAAGTTTCCTTTCCGTTTAACGGATCGATTGGTTTTTTTTTTTTTTTTAGCATCCACCCTGATAGCAGTGACTAATTTGAAGGTACCTCAAAAGATGAGATATAAAATTTTAATTCAAATTAATTAAATTCATTTAACTTAAATTTTATAATTTTTTTTGTTTGATTTGTACCGAATCAATCTGATTTAAATTCAGTTGGTTCTATTTGAGTAATTGAATATCCGATGAATTTTAAGAAATTTAAAAAAATATATTTTTTAAAGTAGATATATTTTTTAATATTAACTAAATTAATATGTTCTAAAAATTAATTAAATTAATAGATTTGTAATATAGTTTTTTTTATTTATTTTTTTAATTTATTTAAAAAATTCAAATGCATTGTAGAGTGTGAAAATGACACTCAATATATTTCAATATAGTTATTATTGGTTTCTTTAAATATTTGAAAAAGGAATGAAAACATCTACATATTGTAACACAAAAATGTCTTTAAAATAATAAAAATGATACATACATACTAATTGTTAACCAAATAAAAAATGATAATAAATAAATAAATTGGTTTGGTTAGAGTTTGTTGGATTTTAAATGTGTAAATTTGATACTCAAACCAATTAACATTGGATTTAATTGGTTTGGTTTTGATTGGATTTGAACAAAAAAAATCAATTTAATTGTTTTGATTCGAATTGTCAAGCTTGTTGAATTGATCAGATTCAATAAACTCTCCTACCTTTTGGGATGTATACACTTTTTAATTCAACAGTTGAATTATTGAAATTTTATGTAAATACATGAGTTATTAAGTAGAGTAAATCTAGATAGATTTACTCATGTAATAAGTAAATCATTTTCTCTCTCTCTATATAGAGAGATTAAATTACTCTAAGAATAACTTTTGATAAAGTTAGTCTACTCAATAACTTATGGTGTATATTGAATTTTAATGATCTATTAAATTAAAATATTTTAATGTATAAATCAAGTCTAAAATTTTTTGAAAATTATTTTATACTTTATTTCATTAATTTAAATTAAAAAATAATCATAAAAATATTTACATATTGATTTGAATCTATATAACTAAGTACTATATAGTTTCAATTTTTTTTTAAAAAATTAAACTTGATTCATACATTAAAAACTTTAAATTTTTCGGTTGAATAGTTGAAATTCAATATACACCATAAATTATTGAGTAGAGTAATTTTACTAAGAGTAACCCTTTGAATAATTTAATCCCTTTTCCCTATATATATTAGGAGAGAAAGAGAAAAATGAGAAATTCACATATTCTAAGAGTAACTCCTAGTTTAGGGTTTAAGATTTAAATGATATACTATAAATCATATTTTACTTCGGATTTAAATAATCCAATTATTAAAAATAAAAGTTCTTAATGTATAAATCAAATCTTCAAATTTAAAAAAAAAATCAAAACCATATAATATTTTGTTTTATATATTTAAATCAGTATATAAAATATTTTTATGATTATCCACCAATTTGAATTAATGAAAAAAGTATCAAATAATTTTCAAAATTTTTAAAAACTTATAGACTTGATCTATAAGTTAAATTTTTTTTAGTTTAATGATTAAGTTATTGAAATTTGATATAAAATACAGGTTACTAAGTAAAGTACGTCTGCCAAAATTTATTCTTAGAATATATATATATATATA